CCCCCCCCAAAAAAAAAAACAAAAAAAAAAACAACACCAAGTGAACTCGAACCAGAGGTAGAGGGTTCCTCGATGAAGAGGTATATCAAGATGAAAAATTTGAAGTGTTTGATCAAATTTTATGCTGAAGTCTGCTTCCATGGCGGCTCTATATCGTCAATGGCAACCTCCCGTAGCCTTTACAGAACTAAAACCGTTCCATGTAGCAGGTGCACAAATTGAAGCTTATTCAATGGTGTTTCTTATACAAATTTTATACTACTTGTAGTGGTTATGGCTAAGCAATATCAGTCTCTAATGGTAAATAGGTTCTAACTCGTCTTCTTTCACTCATTCTAGCCTATTAATTAAAAAGGAGAAAATCTTGTTTTTCTGCATTTTTGGATCTGCAAAGTTTCCTATATAACCTGAGCGCATAAACAGTTGCTCTTCTGAAATTACTCAAGGTCAGGAGGAGAAAGGGGATTGTGGTGGAGAAGAGATTAATAATTAATTGTTGACCGTAGTTAAAATGGTTGATTTTGCAAATAAATCTGAATCCTTTATTACTTCAAGGGATACGTGTAATATGTTTAATACTCTAATGCACTAGCGCAGCCACACAGGGTGAAGGGTGTTGAATATCTTTTATCAAAAAATTATATACTAGGTAAAAATTACTTTTTGTAAATATATATATTAAACCTTGAACACCCTTTAATAAATTCCTAAACTTCATAATCGCAGATTGTCGTCATGTGCTAAATTCATGTAGAGCTTGCTTTAAAAAAGTGACTTTTTTTCTTAATTTCCTGGAAGCTGACGATCTACAATAATTTGCTGGACTTTCAATTAGTATATTAAGCTTTATGCCACACCCTTTTAATTGTACTATATATATATATTAAGCATAGTACAATTAAGTAAGCATTCTGATAGAGCTAGCTAGCTTTGTTTATCCTCTTCGATCTCCAGCTTCTTCTTTGAAGCAAAAACATTCATATATAGCCAAGTGTTTAATTTGATCATTTACTTTCTCAGCCCACCAAAATGACGCAGAAGAGCTCTTCCTCTGCCCATACTTTTCGGTGGAGTTATGATGTTTTCTTAAGTTTTAGAGGTGAGGACGTACGCAAAACATTTGTTGACCATCTCTATGTTGCTCTACAGCAAAAGGGTATTCATACCTTCAAAGATGATGAGAATCTAGAGAAAGGCAAGTCCATTTCACCTGATCTTATGAGAGCAATTGAAGAGTCGCGCATAGCTTTGATTATATTCTCCAGAAACTATGCTAATTCGATATGGTGCTTAGATGAATTAGTGAAGATCATGGAATGCAAGAACTTGAATGGACAAATTGTGTTTCCGGTCTTCTACGATGTAGATCCATCAACAGTGAGGAAACAAAAGTCAAGCTTTGGAGAAGCATTTAGCAGTCATGAAGCCCATGGCTGTTTCAAGTTGCAAAAATGGAGGGCGGCATTGGAGGAAGCTGCTAATTTATCTGGCTGCGATTTGCCAAATACTGCTAATGCGTAAGTATCATGAAACCAATCTCATCGCGATAACTGTTCATCTACACTCTAAATTCTTGGTTCGTTTCTATTTTGCATCGCAGGGGCCACAACACTAGGAAAATTTGCTTTTGGACTCCATTATATATGTTAATTTTCTTTCTTCATTTTGTTTATGATAAAATAACAAAAATACACATTAGGCACCATAACTTTTATGTGGACCTCAGAAGATTTTTTTGGCTATTACCCTCCCTCCATGTTGAATTTCACAATTCATAATGATCTCTATATTTATGCCTCATCTCATTCCGAAAAAATTACAGGAAATAAAGTATACCATATTTTAAAAATAAACTATGTGCAAAAAGTTACAATTTGAGTTTGGCATTTCAAGCTTTGTACATGTTCATTGAGAAGAGACTACTCGTATTTGTTGAGGAGTATAGATTCAGTTTCTGCCCAAGTGATTCTATTCCGCTGTTGGCACACCAGTTAGGGCCAAAAAGCATAGCTGCAGCTTCTGCCATATTACTAGTTTCCAGTGGAATAGATTAGGCAAAGATAGTGATTTCCTGGGTGTCCCTGATTAATTCTCCTCCTCCACATTGCCCATGTATCCAACTTTCATCACTGTTAAGCTTGACTCGCAACACATAAAGTATACTACATAAACAACCAACTGCAGTACTGTCTTAACAACAACAACAAACCCATTTTGATCCCAACATGTGGGGTCTGGGGAGGGTAGTCTGTACGCAGACCTTACCCCTACTTAATGCAGGTAGAGAGGCTCTTTTCAATAGACCCACGGCTCAGGAAGGGCAAGAAGAAGAAGAGGGAAGCAAGGAAGGAAGAAAGATGGAAGAGAGAAAATGGAGAGATAAAGGATAAGTAATATCAAATAATAGCCAGTACTGTCTTAACAGCTTCCAGGAAATCAGAAGTTCATTAAAAAGGACTGGTTTTAGTAATAATTTGAGAACTATTCTTAAACCACTATATTGCACAAACAAAAGTATTTTTGATACATGAAGTTTTTACTACGCCACAAAACAGAGTTTTTAACGTTCTTTGTGGTGTTTAGGCATGAAGCTAAAGTCATAAAGCAAATTGTGGAAGATATACTGGCTAAATTGGGTGGTCAGAGGCATGCAATCAATGCTGAAAATCTTGTTGGAATGGAGTCACAAATGCAGAAAGTGTATAAAATGCTTGGCATCGGTTTTGGAGGAGTTCACTTCGTTGGAATATTTGGAATGAGCGGAGTGGGAAAGACAACTTTAGCGAGAGTCATTTATGATAACATTTCAAGTCAATTTGAGGGTGCTTGTTTTCTTCATGAGGTTAGAGACCGTTCAGAAAAACAAGGCCTAGCGCGATTGCAAGAGATACTTCTTTCCAAGATCCTTGTCATAAAAGATCTAAGGATCAACAATTTATTTGAAGGAGTTAATATGCATAGACATAGATTACGGTACAAAAAGGTTCTTCTTGTTCTTGATGATGTTGATCACATAGATCAGTTAGAGGTTTTAGCTCAGAAGCGTGAATGGTTTGGTTCTGGAAGTAGAATCATCATAACAACTAAAGACAAACACTTGCTTGTTAAGCATGATGTGGAAAAGATATACAAAATGAGAACATTAAGTGACGATGAAAGTCTAGAACTATTTAAACAATATGCTTTCAAGAAGAACCATCCTACCAAGAAATTTGAGGATCTCTCAGCTCAAGTGATAAAGTATACTGCTGGACTCCCCTTGGCTCTGAAGGTCCTGGGCAGTTTCTTGTATGGAAGAGATTTGGCTGAATGGAGAAGTGAAGTGGAACGATTGAAACAAATCCCGGAAGATGAAATTTTGAGGAAACTCGAACCAAGTTTCACTGGACTCAAAAGTATCGATCAAAAGATATTCTTAGACATTGCGTGTTTCTTTACAGGGAAAAAGAAAGATTCAGTGACTAGAGTTCTTGAGAGTTTTAATTTTAGCCCTATTATTGGCATAAAAGTTCTTATGGAGAAATCTTTGATTACTATTTCAGAAGGTAGGATTTTAATGCACCAATTGATACAAGAAATGGGATGGCACATTGTTCGTCGAGAAGCTTTCGATTATCCAAGAAGATATAGTAGGTTATGGAAGTCTGAAGATATTTCTCATGTACTTGCAAGAAATATGGTATGTACGTGCAGAAATATCTGTTACTATTGTTTATATGTAATAGTGTAGCTTAATATATAGCCTTCATATTACTTTTTTCTCATTTTGTTCTTCTCCTTTTTATCCATCTTCGCTGTCGCTAATTAGGGCACAGAAAAGATCGAAGGCATATCTCTGAACTTGAGAAAGATGCTCACAGATATTTCTCATGCACTTGAAAGAAATTTGGTAAGTATTTGCAAAAATATACATGGCTTCAACCTAATTAGTGCAAGCAATAAATATGGCCTGTAACTTTATAAATATCAACTAATTGCCTTACTTTTTCTCCTTTTTTAATCCAATTTATGCTCGCTAATTAGGGCACAGAGAAGATCAAAGGGATACCATTAAACTTGACCAATGTCAAAGAAGTGAATGTTAGTGCAACAGCCTTCATGCCGATGACCAGACTGAGGTTTCTCAAAATCAAGAATGCATATGTTTCTCAGAGTCCTGATATTCTTCCTAGTGAGTTGAGCTGGCTTTCTTGGCACGGATATCCTTCAAAAAGTCTTCCAATTAGCTTTCAGGGAGAACGACTCGTTAGTTTGAAGTTAAAAAATAGTCGCATCATACAACTTTGGAAAGGCTCCAAGGTTTATATTAACTTACCCATTGCTTTTCTTATAGGTTGGTTGGATCGATTAAAATGTTTGTTCAAATTACTAAAGGCTTTTTTTCTCGTGGTGACAGGTTCTAGGACAACTGAAGTACATCAACCTTAGCCATTCACATAAGCTAATAAGGACTCCAGATTTTTCGGGTACCCCTAATCTTGAAAGGTTGGTTCTTGAAGAGTGCACAAGTTTGGTAGAAATCAATTTTTCTGTTGGAGATCTCAAAAAGCTAGTCTTGCTCAAGTTGAAGAACTGCATCAATTTAAAGACCCTGCCAAAGAGTATTCAATTGGAAAATCTTGACGTTCTTATTCTATCAGGCTGCTCAAAGCTAAAAGTATTCCCAGAAATAGAAGAGGAAATGAATCGTTTATCAGAACTATATTTGGAAGCGACTGCTTTTAGTGAACTACCCGCATCAGTTGAGAAACTATCAGGAGTTAAAGTGATAAATCTAAGCTCATGCAAGAATCTTGAGAGTCTTCCAAATAGTATTGTTAGGTTGAAATATCTTAAAGAACTTAATGTGTCCAAATGCTCAAAACTTAAAAGTTTACCAGATGACTTGGGTTCTTTAGTCAGTTTGGAGGGGCTCCATTGTGATGACACACCGATCCAAATGATACCCTCCACCATTTCCCTTCTAAAGAACCTTAAGCACTTATCTCTCCGTCAATGTAATGCTTTAGGTTTGCACGTAAGGAGTTCAATCTCAAGAGAATCTATGGGACTAGTTTTCTCTAATTTATCAGGTCTTTGTTCATTGACAATGCTGGATATAGGTGGCTGCAGCATTTCAGATGGAGGCATCCTATGTAATCTTGGGTTCTTACCATCTTTGGCGGAATTGAATCTTGGTGGTAACACATTTACTAATATCTCAGCTTCAAGCATCAGTGGTCTGACTCGACTAAAGGTTCTTCAATTGGTTGGCTGTAGTAGGCTTGAACATTTCCCAGAGCTTCCTCGAGCTATAGAAGAGGTGCATGCTGATGAGTGTATATCTTTGAAGAGTATCCATCAATTAGCAAAATATCCAACATTGCGCCGACTTTCACTTAGCCAATGTCATCAGCTTCATGATACTGACATGGTTGATGCATTATGGAGCAACATGCTCAAGGTAAGTAACTTTTTACGAACTGAAATTGTGTAACAAAGTCACTTTTCTTTATTTTGTCCCCAATATAAAGAAGGATTTGTGTGTGTTGATTGGCTGGCTAATAACGTCATTCCTTTGATCGAGCAGGGACTATACGTGCTACGAAATGATCTCAGCATTTGCATCCCTGGATCGCAGATTCCTATGTGGTTTACATACAAGAACTTTGGGGAAAATGTTACACTGACTCTTGCCAATAATTGGTACACTGATAACCTCTGGGGTTTTGCTTTCTGTATTGTTTTTGAACGTATGGAATGGTGCGGTCTATATGATGGTTACCTACAACCATCACTTGGATTTCCAGTTAACCTTAAATTCAAAACATATGATGGTAAGGAAGGCGATATACGTAGCATTATTGGCATAAAAGGAGGTGATATGTCAATTCGGAACTCAGAGCACACTCTCCTTGCCTACGTACCATCTCGTCGTTTTCTGCAACCTTACAATAACGAGGTTTACAGTCCCAACGACTGGATAGAAATTGTGGCTTATTCTACAGTACAATTCGACAGCAAAGCTTGGGGAACGCGTCTTGTGTACTTGGACGATATTATTGAAGCATGAGCAAGTAGAGAGATTCACTTGGAGAAACAAGTAATGAATATTTTCAAGAGAACTTTATGAAGGAATTGTATATATCATACTTTTGAGGCCTCCTCAGGCGTTAGCCCCTTCTGTGTATTTTATAAATAAGTGACCTTTGTTAGGATCGAAATAACCAGGTATCATGCAGAATCTAGTAATGCAAACCTTGAATGACGATAAATCAGACAACAAAAGAGAAATATACCAAAAGAGCCAAAAACATATAACGTGATTCGGTCAATTGACCTATGTTCGCGGCAGAGATGAGCAATCTACTATATAAAAGAGAATACAAAATATCAAGAGAACAACCTCACGAAGAGGCAAACACAAGTGACACACTAACACTTGTC